ATAATATATTATGTTATATATATATAATATATATATATATATATCTCCAAGTGGTAGGGCCAGCAGAGTGCAAAATCATGCTTTGCAGAAAAGGAACTAGATAGACTTTTGGTAAATTATTAGCATTAAGTGTATATGTGGGTCTCTGGGATTTGATAAAACTGGTTTATACTAATTATATCCAGCAAAAATAAAATCAACTGAGAGCAATGCTTGCAGGTGTAGGATGAAGGAAAAGATTTTTAGAGGCAGTCAGAATGGCAAGGGATGCTCCAGGAGAGAGCAATGTCATAGATTTATCTGCTCTCTCATCTTCCTGTTTGTGTAATCTCATGATACAAAATGAAATGCAGCTTCTTAGGAAAGCTGCCCAGGCTTCACTTCCAAGCTTGTTATTTACCCTATTTCATAAGCATTTTTAATTTCCAAGTCCATGTCTGCCTGTTTGTCCCTCCCTCCTCTTTTCCAACTCCCAACCCCCTCAGGCACAGGATGAAGGTTGGACTCTCCAGGCATCTGTCTATAGGCCAAGACTACCATATGTCTTTTCCAGATGCCCAGGTATGATGGTGGTGGGAATGCCAGGCATATAGGATTTAATTTTGATAAGTCGTGCCTAATAAGACTTCTGCTACAATATGCATTTATAGACTTAAAGCTGTTAAAATGATGTGATAAAAACTTTGTGAAATAACAAATAGCATAATACGACATATATATTTTACATAAGTACAGAAGCAGCTTTTCCATTTTGAAGGCTAATTGAGACTACTAAAATACTTCTCTTTAGAATTTAGCATATTTGGTTGTATATTCGTGACTAGAATCAGTTATCTATTCATCTCGATGTCCGGATGCTACAGTTTCAAGAGGGGCTTTGGCTCCCATATCTGACCTTATTAGCAAGGATAAAACATTCTGGTACCTGGAGATGGCTATGAAATCACCCACGGAGCCAGATGGGAAGAGGTCCGGGCTGCCAACATCATCACAACACAGCATCGGCATTTATCATTCTGGCTGCCCTCTGTGCAGAGGGATCTTTTTACTTGAATTGGAATTTTCAGTGGCAGAAATTCACATTGAAATGTGACATTGTCTTCCTTATATAAACATGCTGGAGCTTGCTGAAAAACCATGATGACATGTGCCATTTTGATAGTAAGTGCTGTCTCCCTTCTGCCCCACCTAAAACTCTATACTCCGTTTATGAAAAGAGCATGGTCATGCAAGTTGGGAACAGACTCAGAAATACAGATTCTGCTTTTTAGTAACCACATAATGTTCGGAATTTTCATCTACAGTGTTAACCAAATAGGAACGTGATTTTGTTAGAGATGAGCTCTGTGTAACAATACAGTTAGACAGATGATTGCACCAATTGTAAATACAAGAAAATTGCCATTTATCTTTGATAAATACAATAATATCATTACACTGCCTCCCCAAGTGAGTGCCGATGGGAAACCGGCACTGTTTCTCCACTGGTGATGGCTGGGGCTACAAGTCCGAGTTGGAACAAACCACTTACTGCATACTTTCTGTTCATATCTCTTCTTGTTTAACCATCTTAGTCATTGTCCATTCAAATTCTGAAACTTTATAATAATATTCTTGCTTTGTTTTTCTTGCAATATAGAACAGAGATAAGCACTCAAGTATTTGTGCTTTACTTTTAGTTCCTGACTCTATAATACTGTTGGAGCCTTTTGGTGGTGGAAACAGTTAATATATGCAACTGCTAATCAAAAGGTTGAGGTTCAAGTCCACCATCAGGCTCCACAGAATAAAGACCAAGCAATCTACTTCTGAAAAATTAGCCCTAGGGAACCGAAATCCTATGGTTTCAGCTTAGGATCAGAGGATCTGGAGTGGTGTGTGAGAAAGGGTTCCCAAAACCCTGTGGAGCTAAAAAAAAAGAAGAAGAAGAAAGAATTATATATATATATATATATATATATATATATATACACACACACACACACACACACTCTTCTTTATATATATACTTTGTGTGTGTGTGTGTGTGTATGTATGTATATGTATATATATTAAATTTTCAAAAAATACCTATGGAGCTCAGTTCTAGTCTGACACACATGGTGTTACATGAGTCAGAATCAACTCAAAGCGAAATTAAAAATAAATAAATTATTTAGAGATATAGATATCAATTTCTGAAAGATATCAAGGATATTTTAAATATCCTAAAGAGACTACACTGAAAGGAAGAGGTTCCTGTTTGTCGAAGAAGTTGGGCAACTGTGTAGAAGCAAGTGCAGGAGCTAGATCTGAGTCTCTGAAGTTGGCTACCTTTTCTACCATGGCACTTTCTTAACTAAACATTTGATCAGGTCCCCTCAGCAAAGTATTTTAACCCAACTCCCACTTCTAAGAACCCATTTGTGTACTTAATAGATGTCAGCTGATAACAACTAGCCGAGAAGTCCTTACAACTGGAGCAATAAGCATGGTCCAGTTGTAAACCAAGAAAAGATGGAAGTTGTCAAGGATTTCATCTTTTTTGGATCCACAGTCAGTGCCCGTGGAAGCAGCAGTCAGGAAATCAAATGACGTATTAAATTGGACAAATGTGCTGCAGAAAAAACCCATAAAGTCTTAAAGAGCAAAGATATCACTTTGAGGGCTAAGGCGCATCTGACCAAGTCATGCTATTTTCAGTAGCATCATATGCATGCAAAATCTGGACAATGCAGAAGAATCGACACATTTGAATTATAATATTGGCAAAGAATATTGAATATACTGTGGGTTGCCAGAACAAACAAGTCTGTCTTGGATGAACTATAGCTGAATGCTCCTTACAAGTGAGGAGGATGAGACTCTGCTGCTGTTTTCAGGAGGAACCAGTCCCTGGAAAAGGATATTATGCTTGGTAGAGGGTCAGTGAAAAAGAAGAAGACCTTCAATGAGATAGATTGACATGATGACTGCAACAGTGGGCTCAAGCATAGCAATGGCTGTGAGGTCACCGTGGGATTGGACAGTATTTCATTTCGTCATACACAGGGTCACTATGAGCTAGCACCTACTTGATGGCACCTAACAACAATAACAACCTGAGACGTCACTATTGTCCTACCCTTGAACTCAACTGACTTAGCTTGTCCTTCAAAATGAACTTTTATGGTTTAGTCCTTTCCTCCTGTGTTCTCGAGTAAGTTAAATTCGTTCAAATTGTTCCATCATACGTTGTGTTATCCCATATCCTATAGCTTCCCTGCTTTATGTAAAGTTCTGCTATAGGCTATGACCAAACATTTGGTGATTTGTATATTTGTTTATTTCTTCCTGAATATCTAATATTGGATAACACAACAAATGTGTCCAGTCTAAATTCCATAAGACCAAGAAATGCACCTTCTCTTTCTTTCTTTTTTGTAGAACAATAAGTTCTTGGTAGATGTTTCTGATGTGGACAACTGCTCAATCTGAGAAAGAAGGAACATAAGGGAGATGAAAATTAAGTTCCAAAAATAAAGGACACTTTGAAACAAGCTTCCTTCTACCCCCTTCCCATACACATTGCAAAATAAAATACAAAAATAAAATCACAGTTTTATGCATGTTTTCAAGGAGATAAATCTTGTAACAAACTTGCTTAAGAGATGAAAGTAAAAAATTCCCCAGTCCTTCAGTGGAATTTCAGGCCCTTATTTACCTTGTGTGCAGTGGTGGTGCAGTGTGGTGAATCACTTTTATATGGCCTTTCTTGCCATGAACTTCGGAGTCCTATAGAATGAGTAGGTAGTGCTATGCAAATAAGGTTCTTGTGGCCC